AATGACCCGGTCCGGACCGGTATTTACCGGTCCGGGTTTCGGTCCTTAGTTTTTCAAGATTCCGGGTTTCCGGTCCGGTCCGGGTCAAACCCGGAAAAAATAGGTTCAGACCGGAATAGACTGGTAACCTATTGTTCCATAAAATATATACTTCGTTTTGAATCATTAGTCAATTTATATTTGGCTTACTACTATGTTTATGGCTTATTTTTGCCTTTTGTTATATAAACGAATATAATATATACGGAGTGTGTATTTGGTGTCTAATTATTTCCTAAGTTGTTTATAATTTTTTTATGTAGCATGTCCTAAGTTTTTTATTGATCGTACTTTATATTTGTTTGATTTTTCCAAATCGCTTTTTATTTGTTTCTTTATTTGCAGGTGTGTATGTATTTTATATGTAGTATATTTTTGGACGTAATTTAGTTTTTATTACCCCACAATAAATTTTTCCAATTTAATACACAAAAGATTGTAGTTTTAATTATTGTGGGATACTAATTGTTACGATTGAATAGTTTTGATGACTATATTCCAAAACTAATAAATGAGCTAAACAATTATTTAGTCTATTTAGCATATCCGCACATAAAATTATAGTTTGAAACAACAACAACATCCAAGTCTTATTCCTAAAAAATTTGGGGTCAGCAAAGAACACTCTAAGATAATACTCCGTATGTCTTTTTTTAAAACCGGGTCAATTAGGGTCAAACCCGGACCGGACCGGAAAATTCAGGTCCGGACCGGTCCGGACTGGTTAGATTCAGGTCCGGTCTTCGGTCCATAGAAAATGATGATTCCGGTTCCGGTCCTAACCGGTTCCGGTCCGGTCCGGTCCGGTTTTGGACCGATGCACACGCGTAAAGATTATACGGAGCACTTTTTATTATAACAATGGTAAGAATGAAATTACAGTTGACATTCTTATACTTTTTTTTTAAAATAGTTGACATTCTTATACTTAATTAAATACCTAGAAAACGATTTGTATTAAAAACAGCAATTTAAAATGTTTTGTAAATTAAGCAGAGATAACATTGACATTACCGTGGTCACAAATGCTAGCTAGTTTTAATATTATTTCTTCGCAACTTCACATTTTATGGTTGATAATTGATAAGTCTGATAAACGGCCTCTTATTCGCATCAATGATTTCTTCACTGAGACAATTACCCCTCAAATGATTAAAAGATGACATCTTTCTCAATCTATGACTCATATGTTTTTTTCCCCTAATATGATTGCTTCTTTCATGCATTCATACACTCGGACATATCATATCTATTAATTAGTTCCAAATCTACCCTTCAAAAACAAAAAGGTAGGTTCCATATAATTACGTACTACGTATAATGCTCCACCGCCCATTAATAGCAATTGATCAATTGCAGATCGAAGGTAAGCTCTGTATCCATTGAAAATCATGTTCATCTCTTATCCACGTTCTATCTCTTATCCATTAACAACAAAATTTCTGAATTTTTTTCAAGATATTATAGATGCTTGTCTGCCGCCATCGTCCAATCGTGCCACCACTGTCTAGCCGCCATCATCCAGCCGCGCCACCACCGCATGCTTGCTCGCCGCCGCGCCGCCGCCGCCGCCAAGCCGCACGCTTGCCCCGCTTCCATTCCAAGACATGTGGACCACCAGCCATCCTATTCCATGTGTGCCGCTGCCCAGCCGCGTTGCTTCGTCCCTGCACCAACCTATAGTCGTCGCCTAGCCGCGCACCTCTGTCCCAATCTTGCCGCCACCACCCAACCGTCTGCCTCCATTATCATTCTCCATCTTGTTTCACTTTCGAAATTATTAGAGTTTTGGGCATTAAACATGGGCAGTGAATGTAGGCCGTGAGCATGACCAGTGAACATGGCCGGCAATAAATATGGTTGAGTATGTGAAATGAATATGATAATATATAATGTTGTATATTGGCGATGAAGGAATGCATTGATGAAGTGTGTTGTGAAGTAAATCAGAAGCAATAGATCGTGCTATAACATTGGCCGAAAGTGCAATAATTATGACAAGTAGTGCAATGATGTAAAGCAGTATCACCCGCTTGAAATGTAATATATTTAATTAGTTGTAAAATAATGCAATTATTAAATAAAAAAAAACTATAAGTAAATTGCTAAAGTGAATGAGAAGAGAACACATGTTTGCGAAAGTGCAATGATGTGTTACCAAAAGTGAGGTAATGTCATGCACAAATGTCGCGCATTAACTTCAGTATAAAGTGCAGTATTTTAATTAGAAAAAATTAGTGTACAATGCACATTTTTAAAATAAGAGTATTTCGATCATTAAACATTTTAATATGAATGGATTCTTTTGAAGTGATGTTGTTATTTGGTAATTTAGGGCTAATTTACTTGCTTAATTGAACTTCTTAGAAAACCTGCTTCGAAGCATGTACATCATCATGTGGTTGGTATTCATTTTGTTCGTATTTTGAAAAGAGCATGTACGCACATGACTTTTTGGGTAGAATCTGAACCACTCGATTCAAGAAACCGGTTACAATTGAGTCGGTTGACCTAACTTAGACACCTATCATCTTCACCCGCACTGCTAATGCCCGTTTTATTTTAAGGCTACAATGGTCTTTTAATGATCAAATTTTTAATACGACCGTTCTTTAAATGATGTGCATAGTCATGGATAAGGTAATAAACATTAGAGGTCATATATTGGGAAATCTCTTAACTTATAGTCATACATACGTAATTTTCCCCTTTCTAAATCTCTGTGAGAGTGCGCATTGTGCCATACGACAACAAAGATTTGTTAAAAATTTGCGTATTGTGCCATTAGGGGTGGTAGCGGGTCGGATTTATACCGGGTGTAGGCTCATCCGCGTTCACTCGTTAATTTTTTATATTCCACCCACCCGTCCATCATCCATTAAAAATTACATCCACATCCAACCCATCCATCATGAGCGGGTTATCGGGTGGATCGGGTGAGTAACAAGTGAATATAAATGGTCTAACTTGAAAGACAAAATAAATAAATTATAAATAGAAATTATGATAATAAAAAAACCAAAATTTTAAAATTCATTGAATAATAACAACAAAAACTTGAACAATTGAGAATATTAAAATAACTAATTCACTGACAATAAAGAAAGAAGTGATTGTCAAACAAAATAGACATAAAACTTTTTCAAACTGTCAAACTCTACATTTCTACATTGACACAAAACTATTTTTGGAGTTCAACGGCCACTTCTTGAAACTCTACAACTATCTTTATTTCACCAATTCATAGATATGTGTCTTCTTCATTAACAAATATATATTTATTACTCCGCGATATATTATTATTAATAATTATATATATTGTTAAATATAATATAATATAATATAATATAATATAATATAATATAATATAATATAATATAATATAATATAATATAATATAATATAATATAATATAATATAATATAATATAATATAATATAATATAATATAATATAATATAATATAATATAATATAATATAATATAATATAATATAATATAATATAATATAATATAATATAATATAATATAATATAATATAATATAATATAATATAATATAATATAATATAATATAATATATTATACATTTGTTTTTATATGCGGGTTAGCGGGTGGATGGATGAAGCGGGTGATGGATTGGATGAGTGTTCATCCACACCCGATCCAACCGGTCTTTCAATCCACCCGTCATCCATTTTTCATCCATACTTTTTCGGGTTTTCGTCCACATTTTCGGTTCGGGTTGACCAGATATCCGCGGGTGCGGGTGATATTGCAGCCCTATGTGCCATACGACACTTCGTCTGAATCGTGCCATCATTCAATTTTTTTTCATCGGTCCATTTTTTTATGCGGCCGTAATTGTCATTGTTTTATAATCGTGTCATCACGATTCATAAAGGGCCCACACCATGGATCGATTTGGCTTTCATACCATGTTAAGACACGGGGTTCCATCCTAAAAAGTCAACCTATTAGGTGGAGTAGCACATGTGTTAATATAGCACTTCGTTCATTCAAACTTTTCTGGTGTAAGACATTTAACAAAACCCCTTAAATAATAAGCATAATTTTTTCTAGAGTACCCACATATCATAGATAGATTTGAAAAGAATGACAAAGTAAGATATTGAAAGAATAAAGTGTGGTAAAGATACAATTTGGAGCTATTATGAGTACTATATACTAGGGCTATGTTTGGCACGCATAAGTCCATGCCTTCTAGCTTTTGTACTATTCAAAAAGTCTCTAAAAGCTTCTAGTTGTATGTTTGGCATGACAATTTTTAAGAGCTTTTCAAAAATTAAACGGGGAGTAGCATCTGAGAAAAGCCCATGACTTTTAGTACTAATTAATCCTAACAGCTTGTATACCAAACCGAACTAAATCAAACAGTCAGCTTTTTACCAAACAGCTACCACCTTTTCTTTTTAAGATCTTTTCAGTCACTAAAAGCTACTCCCTCCGGTTCTAAATAAACTTCACACTTTCCTTTTTGGGACGGTCCAAAATAAACTTCACACTTCCTTATTTCTTTATTTGGCAAAGAAACCTACATCAAAACAGTGCTAAACAGTGCCAAACAGTGTCTCAACAGTGCCAAACAGTGTCTCAACAGTGCCAAAAAGTGTCTCAACAGTGTACTCTACAGTAAAGTCAACTTTATTTCCTTAATAACTGTGAAGTCAAACACTGAAGTTTAAAAAGATCCGGAGGGAGTAACAGTTATTAAAAAGCTTACAAAAGTATCTTTTCAGCTAGTTGTGCCAAACACACCCTAGGGGTGGATTTGGTTCGATTCCCGAACCGAAATAAAAAAATTCCAACCCGAACCGATTTTTTGGTTTTCCTTACTTTTTTTTTTTTTTTTTTTTGTAGAGACATGAATTATTATTAATGTAGAACAAGGAAGGATGGAGTGCAAACTGAGTAGTATTTCATATATGGATGGATGGATGGATCATTCAACGATGATCTTGCCAACCATTCCGGCTCCCTGATGAGGCGAACAGTAGTAGGAATAAGTGCCCTTCTCGGTCAAGGTGACCTTGAAGGTATCCCCGGGCCCGTTGAGCAGATCCTCCTCGCTCATCGAGATCTTCGAAGCGTCCACCCCGCTCGGCACCTCATCCTCCTCGAACACCACGTTGTGCGGGAACGCCTTCCCGTTCTTGAACTCGATCGTCTCCCCCGCCCCCACCCTCAGCTCCCGGGGGGTGAACGCCAGCTCCCCGCCTTCCCCCCCAGTATCACCTGCGCCTTACTTCACAAACTGTAACCGAACCGATTTATATCGGAACCCAAATTTTCGGAAACCAGAATTTCGGGTCGGTTCTCGGTTTTTATAGAGAACCGAATGAACTTCAAAAAATTGGACTTAGGAACCCGAATTTTCGGAAACCGGAATTTCGGGTCGGTTCTCGGTTTTTATAGAGAACCGAATGAACTTCAAAAATTGGACTTAGGCAAGGCTTGTAGCAGCCTTGATCGCCTAGTCCACGTTAGAATCGGAGGGGTGTATATATAGGAACAACAAAGGAGTAAGGGTCTGTTTGCAACCGCTTCTACTTTTAAAAGTGTTTTTTTAATGAAATGGGGAGAAGTGATTAAATAAAAGTTGATAGTGTTTGAGAAAAAAGTGATTTTGAAAAGTAAAAGTGGGTAGTGTTTGGTAAAATAAGTACTTTTTGTGTAATAGAAAAAGTAAAAGCACTTTTGGCGCGGAAGCCGATAAAAATAAAAGTTATAGTGTTTGGGAAAATAAGTGTTTTTTTAAAGTAAAAAACTGAGAAGTGCTTTTTAAAAAGTAGTTGGGGTTAGTTCGCGGGAAATTTAAACTGCAGAAAATAAAAAGGAAAAGAAGAGGAAGCGTATGCGGGATTCGAACCCAGGTGAAAACTGAAGGATGCACCCCAAGTTTCGGACATTGAACCACTAGACCGCTTGATCTAATTGTTAAAAGTAGGACTTAAATACAATATATTACCTATTATTACTGCAGGAAAAATAATTAAATATTACTTAATAAAATTCGGTTCGGTTCCGTTTGAACCGATTTTATAACTCAAAAAACCGTGACCGAACCGATTTATGTTCGAGTCCCAACTTTCGGGTCCCGTTTAAGTCGGTTCGGTTTCGATTTGATTTTTTTAATGCTCGGTTCGGGTTTTTTCGGTTCGGTTTTCGGTTTTTTCGGTTTAAAATGCCAGCCCTACTATATACACCGTACTATTTCGTTTTTTAATTTTCATTGTTATTATTTACATCAATATTTGCATTATAAAATTATTCATTTACCTCAAATTTATTTCAGCAGAGAATATATTTTACTACTACGTAATGTTTAAACCAATTAAATCCTTTTTTCAAGAAAGAGCATAGAAAACATATTTATTACACTGATTGCATGTGTATATGACAACACATAATGGTCATAGCAAGTCATGAGACCTACAATTTATGCTAAAAAAATACATATTCATTGGTATATAGCCCCAATATCTTGTCTTTTCCATAATTTATTAGATCAATATCTTACCATGTCATTCTTTTAAGATCTCTTTATAATATATATTTGGATACTCTATCACCTATATTATTTTCTAGGATTCACAACTTTTTATGTTTCTTTGTTGTCGTGGGACATTATTCTAAAACTCTTTCATGGAGCTAGATTTTGAAAGTGAAGAAATCATTGAACTTTAAGAGGCGAATCTATCACATTATCTGAAAAAACTTGTGTGTGAATAAATGCCTATGACCTAAATATAGTTCCTCAAATCTTACTTTGTCTGAATTTTATTAATTTGTAGCCAAGTACAATATGTAGCACTTGTTGGCCTCATACAGGGTTTCTACGGCATATCAGAAATACATATTGATGTCCTCAATGAAAAGGATGTTGCACATATGTATCACTAGTGTTTTCACTACAAGAAAAGTGCACATAGACCGCACATAGACCAATATTTTTTTGTGATGGCCGCATAACTGTCATTAAAAACACTATTAACCACACATTTTTTTATTTGCCACATACAAACTGTGCTAAAAGATCAGAGACGGCAGTTTTTAACCGTGGCCAATGTTTTTACCACGGCTGTTGTGGCGACGCACGTAAAACTGACGCAAAACTGTCGTAAATGTTCCTCCTTATGTTTTAACGACAGTTTTGCGACAGTTTTAGGTGCGTCAGCACAATAGCTGTGGTAAAAACATTGGCCACGGTTAAAAATTGTCGTCTCCAAGCTTTTATCACATTTTTGTGTGTGGTAAATAAAAAAATGCGTGGTTAATGGTGTTTTTAACGACAGTTATGCTGCCATGGCAAAAACAAATGTGGTCTATGTGCAGTCTATGTGCACTTTTCTTGTAGTGTTTGAGTGTCAAAATAATTAAATTGTGTTTAATTGTATACGAGGTATATATTAATTAACTTAACGTTTGTAAAAAAAAAAATCTTTGGCCTTTTCCTTTTTCTATCAAGTGTTTACTTCAATAATGGATTTGAATGTGACGTACCTGCCTTACTTTACATGTTCATTATGTCATAACCACTAACAAGTAACAACCAAAAGATAGCTTGAAAAAATTGCACTTTATTTTAAAGTTTAATTTATTACCTTTTCTGTAAAGATCTTTTATCATCTCTTTAGTAATTAATAATTACTTTCCTAGCAGGTTTCTATGTATGCTATTACGTGAGAGTGATCGAGATTTGGACCCCTCTATAAGTTCATATTATACACTCAATTGAGAGTCATGTTTTCAATGCATACCTCTCATTTTATTTGTGTGGTGCTAAACATCAATCTTGTCTTTCATTTGCATTCGAAAGAAAATGTTTGCTTCCTTCTTTGGTCTCGGGATTTTCAACTAAAATATCATTTGGTAATAAGGTCTTTATATTTCAGTTTACATGTTATCTCCATGAGTGAATTTGAAACCGCCTTGTTTAATTTCTACGTAATATAATATAATAATAATATAATATAGTGAAGCTTTGTTGCCGGTCGCAAACATATGTTTGGTATCAAATGCGCACATATAGTTTGAAACAAGCTAAGGACAAGAATCATGTAGAAATTAAATATTATCATTTTCTTCCTTTTACACATTTAAATTGCAATATACTTCGTACATTATACGTGTTTTAAAGCCTTGTTCTGTTTCTTTGGCAACTGTGCGTAAATGGCTAATTCATACTCGGTATATCAATGTGAGGGTGTTGTACTACTGTTTGAGCTTTTTGGTGATTTTATCTGCTTTATTGTGTATTTTCACTTCATTCATGTGTTGTTATTGCGGGTGGAAGTAGTAACTGATCTAAAGTTACAAATGGTATCCTTAGACTTAGGACATTTATGAGTGATGTATTGAGTTATGGTTGCTGGCCGAGCTGTATGCATGTGTTTGAAAATGTTTTATTGTGTTCCAAGTACTTCATGGATTAGTATGTTTTTGCAGAAGTGGGGAGGAAATCTGGTGGAGAGATCTCGCGGTGGTGACCGAGGTCTGGCGGTGGACCGGCGACTTGGGCAATTTGAGGGCAACAGCTCTAACACCAACTAGCGAGTCATATTTTTATCGAGAACACGGTCACCAAAATATGGTTCTAATAAACTAACAATTATGTTTCTGTAATTAATAAAGTATCATTTCCGGGAATAAACATACTTAAAAAAGATAAATGATTTCCAATTTTTCTCCAAAAGGTGTTCCTTTTGAAGGAAATGCCCTTAATATGAATACAAATTCATTAATTATAAGATTAGATACAAGTGAATACAATTAAAGTACTAAATCAGGCTAGGAACATGTGAATCAAGGGATGGAATCTACGGGCTACAGTTTTCTCCTTTTGGTAAGAACACAAACTCACTTCGATCACTTTGTTGGTGTTTGGTTGATGGGCTATCAGTCATTTTTTGGCTGATTTGACTACTGTTTTACTTTTTTATCAAATAAAAAGCCAATTGAGATGTTCAGTTAATTGACTTTTTCTCTTAGTTTTTTGTCTTAAACAGCCAAAGTTAAAAATGCAAAAAAAGTGGCGTTTTGCTCTTGTCTCTTTCCGAAAATACATGGTGTTCCTATTTTAGCCAACCTGCCTCCTTTGTCTTCTTGGTCGGCTACTTTGACTTTCCCCAACAAAAATACGTAGTAATCGTTAGTGATGAGCTTTCTTCACCTAACACATCAAATAAAGTGAGTGGTTCATATTATTTTTCTTTTGAACTTTCATTACAATTGAACGATAGATATAACTTACGGAGTATAAGATAACTAACTAACTTTGAAATAAACAAAATCAAAAGCTTTAAGAAAATCCCAACTTGTACTATGATATTTAAGGCTGGTGGATTCCACATATACTACGTATATTGATATTACGTACTCCCTCCGTCCTATTTTACTTAGCCATATTTAAATTTTCAAGTCAACGGCGTCTAACTTTGACCAATTATATGTTTATATAGATAAAGTATTGATTATATGAAAATGATATGAAAATGTTCTTTGTTAAAAATATTATCATAAAAGTATAAAATTATTATATTTTGCATAAATATATTAGTTAAAATAATTGATCAAAGTTTATCATCTTTGACTGGAAAAGTTAAAGATGGCTAAGTAAATTGGGACGGAGGTAGTATAAAAGTAGTGTTCAAAGTAGATTTTAGGGAAATTACCCTAAGTAGGACTAAAAATGTTTAGAAATTCCAAAATAGGACTAATTACTATCATGTTTTGGCAGTATCAAGCTTTAAAGATGACAATATTTTTCAAATTTGGCATTAATTACTCCTATTTTGAGAATAAAAATATGACAGTCCTATTTTGGAATTTTCAAACATATTTACTCCTATTTCAGGAATGTTCCCTAGATTTTACCCAACGTTCCTCAATTTTAGTGGTCTTCTTTTATGATATATATGTACATAAAAGTAGTTAAAAGGAAAAAAAATAATTAATGTCCTTAAAAGTCATTTAATAAGTAATCAGCTGTCATTTTACCACTTAATCAAACATCATTTTACAAACTGTTAATACTATCAGCTTATCATAACAGCCAAAAAGATCTGTTGTCATGAAACAGCCAACACAATCAGCCAATTCCAACCGCTAACCACCAACGGTCAATTGCCAAACCCCATTAGTTAACATCTTGATATTAACTAAGGGCTATTACCGTAGTATAGCGTAGTAGAGTTCGTATCCACAGGGAAAGGAGCTTTTCGCGTATGTGTAAGCGTAATA